TTTGGCATAAAAGAAAAATCAATAATTCTGACCCATACAATGTATTTTTGGCTATTGCTACAAATATACCCCAGCGACTTAAGACTGGTTTTGTGCTCCAGGGTACATATGTCCCTAAAAAAATGACCTACATTTTAATAAATTAACTGATAAATAAGAAATAATAATTAAAAGTGCCTAAAAGATACGAATTTGGATGGGTTTTTTGTAGCCGAAGCACTTCTTTTTTTGTACGTGTCAAAATAGTTTAAGCCTACCAAAACCATCAGTTATGGCTGTAGTACCTCACCTGCTCTCTTGATCCTCTTGCGCTCTTTCAGCTGGTAAGGCTTGTGATCATGTGACAAGGCCACAGCGTTGCCGTCCTTGTCGCAGAGAACGCCGCGAGAGTCTCCGACATTTGCCACAGTCAGTTCACGGTCTGACAACAGGGCTACCAAACACGTCGTGCCTGAAGACAAAAGAAGGGTTCAGCATTGTTTACGGTTTCCAGTCAGCTAAATCAAGCTAAAACACACTCTCGTCCCTGCTCACCTGCTTCATCATGGCTGGCAGAGAACTTCTCCACCATGTCCCGGTCCACAGCCAGAATGCGCTGCTCTAGGATGGCGGGATAGGAGAGAGGAGCGTCTTTCTTTTCTCGCTCATAGGCCTGCAGCTGCTGTTTCAGAGACTCGGGCAGGTGGGCCTTCACATAATCAGCGGCTGCCTGAGAGAAACCGCAAAAACAATGAGGAACTCACTGTTCCTGTCACACTTCAGCATTTAGAATTCATATTCATGAAGTTCTTTCGGAATTCTACAGCTAACTGATAATAATGTGGAAAACCTTTTTGACAAGGAAAGAAAGAAACGCAGATGAGCGAAGTGGGCTGCTCTCGTGAAAACGTGTCAAAAGAAATAATATTTTATTTTAAGATTTCATGACAATTAAGCACCTATGGGCATTACCATAATTAGGTCTGCCTGATTATGGCAAAAAACATAAATCATGATTATTTTGGTCACGATTGAAATCGCAATTTAGTGTCATGCATAAAAAAGCTTGTCTTTTTATCAGTG